TATATATATATATATATATATATATATATTTATTTATTAAGGTAAGTTCTTTATTGTCACTGTTCACGAACAAGGAATCTCTCGTGAAGCAACCTCCAGATGCTTACGAACACACAAATGCCCATATACAGATCTATTATTATGCTACTATAGATACATAATATTCATTAATATACACATTACACCATGTAACAGTACAATACAGTACAATAAATAAAAACTACAGAGAGGCATAGAAAGACAACAGATGTACATAAATGTAAAAATGATGTGCAGTGAAGTAGGAAGTGACAAGTGCTGAGGTAGGTAGCTGTCATATTGCACTGTGGTAAATAGAAAATTACAAAGTGAAATTTTGCACAGTAAAGAACTGCACAAAATATAATATGGGAGAGGTGGTTGACGTCTCTCAACATGTTGTGACCTGGATATATTGTCTCTTCTACTTCTGGCACTTCTGGTGGTCAATTCGCAAACAAATAATCTCAAAATTTTCAAATATTTACTGTTTTATTGACCTGGTCAATATTTATCTACAAATATTTAACAATATTTGCCTTATTCATGTATATATATATATATATATATATATATATATAAGGGGTTGGATGACTTCTGATTTTTTTAAATCGACTTTTATGTGATGAAAGATGATGTCATCAATGAACAAATAAGTCTGGAGCTGTGACAAACACCTTGTGCACAGCTATGGCATATGACACAGCGCTGCCCACATAGCTATTGCTCCTACAACAGCTAATTTTTATCAGTTTTTTTGTCTTTGGGTCATTATATATCTCACAGATTTCTGCTCGTTCTAAATCAGATACAGATAAAGTAGCACTGTATGCATATGAATGCATTAGTGAGAGCGATTGCGTGTGAATTAATTCTACTTGGCAGCGTCTCTCTCTACTAGTAGTGAAGCTGTGGGATTTATTTATTAAGAAATATATGCTTGAACTTTTCCGTTTCTAAGCTATTTTATTGAGAAATCACAGAACAGTGTTGACAATACATTTCTGTGCTGAATGATTCTGCGCGTGATGTACGAGCCTAAGTGTGTGCGTTACAGTGCAGCAGCGCATTAGATTAGAACGGCGATTAATTTACCTGTACAATAAGCTGTTTAAAACGTGCATTCTCCTGTTCGATTTCGAGCATCCAGTAATATAATCACACGTCTTGTGGAGCGCTTTCAGAGTATGCATTTATTTGTCATTTTTACTGTTTGGAAACGGAGCGTAAATGTGGAAGTCCTTCAAAGATTTCTTATCCTGTTGCGCCCTCTATAGGACCAGCAACTAGTCGACGTCAAGCTTAAAGCGTCATGGCAGAGCACTGAAGTCGACTAGTCGATTAGTCGTTGCAACCCCTAATATATATATATATATATATATATATATATATTTTACCATACTTTCACAGCACAGCCAAATAAAATGCATATGCATAAATAAATAGGCTATACATCAGCCCAGTAGGTGTTATTCACTGTAAAATGACTATTTTTTGTTATTGAGAATGGAGGTTGGGTTTCACAAAGGCAGGGTTGGATGGGTGAATAATAATGTGAATGTTAATGGGAGGTTAATCTCCACAGGAAGCAGCAACTGCCTTTTTTTCCCCTTTAAACCCACAGGGAAATACCATTACCATATCAAACCCAGCACAGTCCGACTCCACACTCAATACAATGGCACTGTTCACAATAGGGTAGCAGACTGTAAACCACACCATACTGCAACATCTAATCAGTGAATTAAAAAAAATAAAACTACATGATAGCGTGATTAAGATCACTATACTGCAGATTCATATAGATTTCTACACTGTAATAAACAATGGTGTAGATACAATTTTCACTGAGAAATTGCTAGTAAATTCACAAATAATTATAAAGAAACGGCTAGTAACGCATTGGATTACATGTGAACCTTTAAATTAGAAAAACTGAAACAGTATTTTCTTGTAAACAAACTCCAACAATCTTTGTTTCATTTACAACTTTTAAAAAAAATGCTGTAGAAAGCTAACAAGACTATTATAACGATTGTGCTCTTCTTGAACCAATATAAGAGGTAAACAAGACTACAACCTGGTAAATTTAAGCACAGTATCTGGGTCAACATATTGCTATGCAGCTTTAAAGGCCAAGCATATGCAGTGTTTGTCTGAATTTGTTTATTTTCATGAATCTGACGGTCATATCCCAAAATGGAAAGTCATCATTACTAAATCTGTTCCTTGTTCAATTATCTAAGTCACACTTAGACAAACACATAAATAAAAATATTTTGTTGAATGACAATCTTACTGAAATCCATATAGGTGCATGCATGTTTCCACAGAGCTATTGATTTCATTAGCTTTATGGGGGAGTCAGCAGAAGTCAGGCTTGATTGCCCATCATAACACATTATGTCACTGGGCTAAATTGGCCACCACTTCCTGGCGTAAGGTTATGGTTGTCTGCAGAGAGATATAATGACTGGGGCATGTGCAATAGTAGTATACCGGTACTTCATGGGGTGTGTTGTGTGTGTGTGTGTGTGTGTGTGTGTGTGTGTGTGTGTGTGTTTGCTGTGGGATTTATTTATTAAGAAATATATGCTTGAACTTTTCCGTTTCTAAGCTATTTTATTGAGAAATCACAGAACAGTGTTGACAATACATTTCTGTGCTGAATGATTCTGCGCGTGATGTACGAGCCTAAGTGTGTGCGTTACAGTGCAGCAGCGCATTAGATTAGAACGGCGATTAATTTACCTGTACAATAAGCTGTTTAAAACGTGCATTCTCCTGTTCGATTTCGAGCATCCAGTAATATAATCACACGTCTTGTGGAGCGCTTTCAGAGTATGCATTTATTTGTCATTTTTACTGTTTGGAAACGGAGCGTAAATGTGGAAGTCCTTCAAAGATTTCTTATCCTGTTGCGCCCTCTATAGGACCAGCAACTAGTCGACGTCAAGCTTAAAGCGTCATGGCAGAGCACTGAAGTCGACTAGTCGATTAGTCGTTGCAACCCCTAATATATATATATATATATATATATATATATATATATATATATACTTTACCATACTTTCACAGCACAGCCAAATAAAATGCATATGCATAAATAAATAGGCTATACATCAGCCCAGTAGGTGTTATTCACTGTAAAATGACTATTTTTTGTTATTGAGAATGGAGGTTGGGTTTCACAAAGGCAGGGTTGGATGGGTGAATAATAATGTGAATGTTAATGGGAGGTTAATCTCCACAGGAAGCAGCAACTGCCTTTTTTTCCCCTTTAAACCCACAGGGAAATACCATTACCATATCAAACCCAGCACAGTCCGACTCCACACTCAATACAATGGCACTGTTCACAATAGGGTAGCAGACTGTAAACCACACCATACTGCAACATCTAATCAGTGAATTAAAAAAAATAAAACTACATGATAGCGTGATTAAGATCACTATACTGCAGATTCATATAGATTTCTACACTGTAATAAACAATGGTGTAGATACAATTTTCACTGAGAAATTGCTAGTAAATTCACAAATAATTATAAAGAAACGGCTAGTAACGCATTGGATTACATGTGAACCTTTAAATTAGAAAAACTGAAACAGTATTTTCTTGTAAACAAACTCCAACAATCTTTGTTTCATTTACAACTTTTAAAAAAAATGCTGTAGAAAGCTAACAAGACTATTATAACGATTGTGCTCTTCTTGAACCAATATAAGAGGTAAACAAGACTACAACCTGGTAAATTTAAGCACAGTATCTGGGTCAACATATTGCTATGCAGCTTTAAAGGCCAAGCATATGCAGTGTTTGTCTGAATTTGTTTATTTTCATGAATCTGACGGTCATATCCCAAAATGGAAAGTCATCATTACTAAATCTGTTCCTTGTTCAATTATCTAAGTCACACTTAGACAAACACATAAATAAAAATATTTTGTTGAATGACAATCTTACTGAAATCCATATAGGTGCATGCATGTTTCCACAGAGCTATTGATTTCATTAGCTTTATGGGGGAGTCAGCAGAAGTCAGGCTTGATTGCCCATCATAACACATTATGTCACTGGGCTAAATTGGCCACCACTTCCTGGCGTAAGGTTATGGTTGTCTGCAGGGAGATATAATGACTGGGGCATGTGCAATAGTAGTATACCGGTACTTCATGGGGTGTGTTGTGTGTGTGTGTGTGTGTGTGTGTGTGTGTGTGTGTGTGTGTTTTATTCCCCCATGTCAATGACCTCATCACAATCCAATATCCGCATAACCTTTACACTGTTTGTATGCGAGTGAGCTTCTTATATACTTATACTTCTTCAGTGAACTCATCCACTAGCCACATAAAACCATTATATGCATATGCTATATATACTGTACATGTGTGTGTGGGTATGTGTTCTATTTCTGCAACTCATTTACATTTAGCTTACACATGTTTTCAGTGGCCCTAATACAACATGAACCACACATCCCTTTGCAGGTACTGAGTTAAAATGTTTTGAGCCATGATCCATCAGTAACACGAACTTCTATGGTGATCATCCATCAGCATCTGATTAGTACTTACACTGAGACAGCATTTTTGTCCAGAAAAATCTGAGCTTTTTGAAAATGCTGTTTTTGCATAGTGTAACTGGTATCAGGGTATTCTGAAAA